TACATTGCATTGCCTTAATTTAGGATCTTTAAGATGAAGAGCATGCCTCCAGTGATTAGGAGAGAAACAAGATGGATATAAAGATTTTATTACTTACATGCCCTGGGGAATATAAGATTGGGAAACTGTCAAGGGTGACTGAGCCCAGCTTCTGGTATGAGAAAGTCCAGCTTATATTCAAAGTGGATGCTGAGGCCACATAACATTATCAGAATTCACTACACATTTTTATTAATGTCTTTACATTGAGTCTTCTCCGTTTGCCTGGTTTGATCAGGAATTTAACACCATATTTAGTCCTGTACTAACTGGAATGAAATAACAGATATGCTTTTCCTGTACACACTGCCCCTTTCTTTACTGTCTGGTTTTATTGAAATGATCTGGAAGGTAAGAAGATAAGATCCAGATTTTTTCCTTAAGTATGCTTTATTTTATTTTATTTTATTTTTTTAGGTTAAATATATCATCCTAGAACTTGAATTATAGTCCATAATAAAATTATCATCATGTATCTACCTATATTGGTTGTGCTAAATTCATGGCTTGTCACTTCCTTCAGTAGTTTTCTTCCTCTTTCTTGAGATTTTTTATTTCAATTTAACTTCCATTTGACTATACTCTTCCTTAAGTTTTTTAGAGAAAGTAAATTAATGGTACTTTGAGTTCTTCTGTTCAGATGTGGTATCATCATCTTTCTTTTTTCTTCTGTCTTCTGCTTCTTAACATATTAGTGATGTCTCAGCTGTGCCAAAAGCTCTCCTCCAACTTTTCCTTGTATTTTTTATGGAACTCCTGTTATTCCTTTTTTTTTTTTGTCTTTTTTCGTGACCGGCAACGGGATCGCAACCCTCGGTGTTGCGCCCGCACCTTGCTCAGCCAGTGAGCAGCCGGTCTGTATGTGGGATCCGAACCCTCGGCGGGAGCGCCGCCATGCTCCCAAGCGGCGCACTGTAGCAGTGCGCCACCGGGCTGGCCCAAAACTCCTGTTATTCCGATGTTAGAGCTCCTAGGTCTGACTTCCATGTCTCTTACTTTTTATTCAAAATTTCCATTCCCTTTTCCCTTTGCTCTGGGTTATACTGATAATTTCTGCAGTTAATTTCTAGATTATTACTTCAGTTTTGGCAGTGTTTATACGATTTCATTGTCTTTACTGGATATATCTCAGAAACCTTGGTTTATTTTTTCCAGAGCACTTTAATGAGATCTTACATTAGCGTATATTTGTGGTTCACTCCTGTTTCCCACATTAAATCAGTATCAGTTGAAGCCAACTGTTCTGATCCTTCACCTTGGTCTTCTCTTAAGAAAACTGCAGTTTCCTCTTAGGTGCTGAGTTTTTTAAGGTGTGCTCCTTTCTGCCGGGGCATGTATTGACTGACTTACCAAGCACCACCAACAGGAATTCATTTCTTTGGTGACGGTGTGGCTGAGACTACTGGGTTTCCCAGGCAGTCTGGTAGTAAGGATTGTTCATTGCTCAGTGAGCCTGTAGCAAATGGGTCAGTAGGCTGGGACAGTACAGAATGCCAAAAGAATTCTTTAGAATTTTCTCATAGAATGTTTGCTGAGTTTTATAGAGCTTAAAGTAAACATTTTTTTTTCCTGATGTCATTATAACAGAGGAAGAAGAAAGCATTTATAGTGCCTAAAGCCTTTAAACAGACATGTCTTAACCCTGACCACATTTATCACAAGTAGTCATTTTAAGTAGCCATTTATGTGGCTGTTTTAGAAATTGCTTGTTAAGGAAACCCAAGCGTGTGTTAATTTAAATGCAGAAATATGTGTTTAACATAAAAGGATAAATTTCCTCAGTGCTGATGCAGATTGCTAAGTGGAAACACTCAGCTTGTTCTCCAACTTTATCTTTTAGTGGTTATATGCTAACATTTTATTTGTTTGATGTCAGGTTATATATTAGTATAGATTAAATGTCTATCTTTTAAGAAACTGAGGAAATTTTTTCCTTTCACTTAATGTCGTTGGGAATTTTATACTAAGAAGAACGTATAATCCTTATTTTTATCATTTAGTGTGTCTTGGTTATACCTAATGTATGTGTTACTTTTTAAAAAATCAAAGCATTCACTTTTAAAACTATAGACCTTGTCAACTTATCACTAAATTAATCACTGTTGTCATTAAGGAGTAAAGTAAAAATCTGAGAACTAAGAGCTTATTAACAAGGTTGATCTGGTGAGGTATTTCATTCTTTAGTGTTAGATTGTTAGTACCTGGGGAAGAAGAGACATTGACGCTTTTATAGTAGTACTTACCTGTTAATTTATTCATGAAACATTTGTTCAGCATCTATTACGTGGCAGGTACCAAGCTAAGTGCTGGTTATCTATAGTTAACTTGATCCTATGTGTTCTTTTTTGTGGAGCTGATGGTTTAATGGGGAAAGGAAATAGGTAAAATAACACACATTAAAGCATGATAAATACAACCAAGGAAGCATTTGCAAAGCACAAATATTGAGGTAACAATATTTATTATTAATATTTATTGATGTAAATATTTCTTGAGGAGGGTGGCATCTAAGCTTCTTCCTACTGAAAGTAAGAGTTCACCAGGGACAGAGCATTGTGAGCAGATCATAACCTCTGATAATGAAAGGTATTAATTTGTTCAGAAGCACAGAAACACATTTGTTGAAGTCAGAGAAATGTAATAGGTTTATGGGAAAAGGAGGAGGAGGAGGTGTGGTAGGAGATAAGGATCAAGACCAGACCATTAGGCTAAATAAAAGTGATCGTGACTTAGGGGTGCCAGGGAAGCGTTATGTTTTAAATTAGAGGAAGAAGGAAGACAAGCCTTAGAACAAAATCACTTTGGGGGTTTTTGTGAGGTCAGTGGATTGAACTGTTGGAATCAAGAAAAACAGTTGAAAAGCCGGTATGAATTAAGGTACTTAGGGTATAGAGGAGAAGGTGAATTTGAGGAATGTATAAGAAGTAAAACTGATAAAACTTGTTAAATGTCTGCATGTGTGGCACAAGGAAGACTAGGCACAGGCATTGTTGTAAGAGCCGAACCGTCTGTTGGAAATGTGAGGAACGTGGGTACAGGAGCCATCCTGAAGAAGATGATAGCCATAAGAAATAGTCCAGTCTGCACCTGAGGTTCTTAGCAATTCAGGTTTCAAGTCTTCTCAAAGTTCTAGATTTGGGGTTTACACGAGTCGGACGTTTAAGTATGGTTGCCTGCATGGCTCTGAAGCAACTAACGGTCCATTAGTAAAGACAATCATGTTTACAGTAGTAACATTACAAATGTTAGATGGGGTGTGCTTCTAAAAGCACTTTTTCCATATGCATGTTCTATTTAATCTTTAAAAGAGGTGGATGCTGGCTCCGTTTTTAAAATGAAGAAACCAAGCCTGAGAGACTACTCAGTGCTTCCCGAATCACATAGCTAATTTAGTGACTTGAAACCAGACTTTCTGATTTTTGGACCTTGATTTTTTTCTCATTAAGGCACATTATCTCTGTAATGGGTCAAAATGAACTTAGAGTTTAGAGTGTTTTAGTTGGCATTCTGTGCGGGCAAAGAAGAAAGTGATTGGAAAGGTATCATGAGGTGAGCCTTGACAACTAAGGATTTTGAAATGGGAAAATGAAGAGAGGAGCATTTCCAGGTGAGGAAGCAGCAGGGCAAAGGTGAAGCTGCAGGAATAGTGAAGACACATTTGTGTGAGGGTTGACCAAGTCCTGCGTGGCTGAGCTTGCTATGTGGAGGACGGGAGGGTGGGGGCTAGACTGGGGAGGATCTTACATATCAGGCTAAGTTTTTTGGGCCATATTTGGAGATGGGCAGGTGGGGGACCTTGAATGGGTCATATGAGGGTGTCGTTCATGAATTCACACAACAAACATTTACTGACTGCCATAATAAATGCCAGGCATTAGGGAAGTCATTGGTAGTACAGTGGTAAGAAAGTTAAAGTCCTTGCCCTCAGTAAGTTCTTAGTGTCCAAGGCTTGGCTGGAATGAGTGAGGGCAGTGGTACAATGTAAGTTCTGGAAGGAAGGCAGAGATAGACTGCGTGCGCCCTTGAAGGCCAAGGTTGAATCCTGTGGGGTGTCCTGAGAATGTCTGAATTAGGTTTTCAAACAGTCACTCTGGTTACTGTGTAGAGAACAAAATAAAAGTCAAGATGTGAACAGAGAGAGACCAGTTAAGAGCCTACTAAATGATAGGGAGGACAGATATGAAGGACATCATGAGGGCACAGTAGCTGTAGTTGATGACAATAAAAGCTGAAGAAAACTTGAGGTTTTCAAATTTTTATGGCCTCTGCTTTCTCAATAAAAGGAGGAAAAGGCAAGGTTTCTTTGAAAGTGATTGATTGGTCAGGTTGATATTGCCAAAAGGTTTAAGAACAGTGGAAAAACTCCAGATTCTTTATTTTATGGGGAAAAGTATAAGAAGTTTGAGGGGGACAATTATAAGAATGGGGGACCAACACTAAGCACCAAATAACATATAATTGGGTGGTACCAGCCAGGTTGATCTTTCGAATATTTTTCTCCATCAGCATCGTTCATTATAGCTCAGGAGAACAAATGGACAGAGTTGGTCGAACCCACTAGTTAAGTAAATGGATGCTTAGGTAGAGCTGTTACCTGATTTTGTAATTTTTCCTCAAATTTAATAATACTCTGGTTTTCTCATTCTCCATTACTGCACATAATCTTAAAAATAGAGTATTCTGATCATTGTAAGTATGATGCAAAAATGTTAAAGATGAACTTGGTTTTCTTCTATTATACTTTTTTGATAAAAGTATTACAATTTGGTTTAGTTATTGTTATGGTTTTCTAATATTCATAGATCTTTTTTGGGTCTCTGTTGAATAAGATTCTTTGCCCTGAAAAATTAGAATTTTTGTAGATCTGTCAGCAAATTATAAAGAATAGTAGTAGTTTATAACAACAACCTTAGGACATTGACCTGTATACTCTTTTAATCTTCGTTGAACTTTTGTTGTAGTTTTCTGAATTTGCAGATCCCATGTGGGGTTCAGATTATGTGCAGTTGTCAAAGACACCACCTTCCTCTGAGCAGAAATGCAGCACTGTGTCATGGGAAGAGCTGAAGGCCATGGATTTACCCTCATTCGAACCTGCCTTCTTAGTCCTCTGTCGAGTCCTTCTGAATGTTATACATGAGTGTCTGAAATTAAGATTGGAGCAGAGACCTGCTGGAGAACCATCTCTCTTGAGTATTAAGCAGGTTTGTTTCAAAGACTGTTTAAAGTATTTAGCAATTATATCATTCTGCAGGCCTATGATTTTCATTGTGAGGTTTTTTTTTTTCCTATTTGTTATGGATAGTAAAAAATGGATATATGTTATTGTTTTTAAGCTGTTCTTTTTAGGGTAATTTAAAATGTGTTTCACATGCAGCCATCAAAGATAAGATTATGTTTCAACTTTTTTGCCATCCACTTCCTTATTCTAAAAGGATATTAAAATATGTGATGATATGACCCTCTATATCCTTTATATCAGTTTTTGAAGACTGGAAGCTTAAAATTCATTCATAAGGGATAGAGTGTAAGTTCCTTTCTTTTTTTGTTCTATTTAAGGTACATGTAATAAACAGATAAATGTCTTGAGGGGAAATGTTTGGACTTTTTGTGTGCTTAAGCAGCTGTGTGTTTTACACAGTAATGACAACTTCTAGTTTCTTAGTTGTTGATAGTTTTGATGGGATCTTATAGAGGGCATGATATTTCAGGGGCAGCAGAGGAATGGCTGGAAGCAGTCGCATCTAGCAGAGTGAGTGCTGAAGAGTGTTTGTATTTATGTTTTGTTATCTTAACATATTGACAGTCACTCTATAAAATAAAAATTTTCAGATGTTGTCCAAAAAAGAAAGGTTGTTGTGTTTTTTGTGGACATACATATTCATCTGCTAGGGATTGAAGGGCTGGGAGCTACTTGGGTCATGAAAGATAGGATGAAGCATGGGTGAGCAGTACAGATAGAGGAAAGACAGGTGCATTCACCTGTCATACAGTAGGTACAGAATAGAACTTGTGTTAGTGTATTCGTTTAGCGAGGTGTAGAATAGGGGGCAGTTGGAAATGGGCCCCTCTGCATCTCATTTTCATCACTTCCGTTTGCATCCAGCACTGACCGGAGCTCTGTTTCCTTGTTAACCCTGCATGCTTCTCACCACCTTGTTTCCGGTTATTGTATTGCTGCTCAATTGGGCCATGCTTTTAACTTGTCCTCCATATTGCAGCTGTTATCTGAGACATTTTGGTAAAATACTTTTTAACTCTCTTCCTCACAAAACACATACTTCAGAAATATAACCTGATAAAACAAGGTGGAGTTTACGTTTTGCTGATGGGGATGTTATATGGATTAAATAGTAATTTATGTTAAAACACTTTGAAAAATAGAAAACAATACTTAGATTAATGTACCATTGCTAGAGTAAAAAGATAATAGAAATTTTGGTTTAAATGATTCAAAGATTAGTTATAAGCACATAAATGACATCTTTAATATAGAAATTTGTCATATAATCTGAGCAGAACACTTCTTCATAGATTTAACTATAGTCATAGATCTCTCTTATCATGTATAATTATCATTAAAACATTTATGGGAGTGACTTCTGTCTATAAAAGCAGTTCATGTTTATTTTAGAAATTTTAAAAGTATAGAAAATGACAAAAATAAGAATTCCTATTGTCTTGCCACTCAGAGATAACCACCTTAACATTTTGGTATATTTCCATACATTTCTTTTTCCTGCACATAACATACCTCCTACAATTAAGTCTGTGTGTGTTATTTTTCCCCCCTTTCTTTAAATATTTTTCAGAGACAAGAATTTAAATGCCTGCGCTAGTGCTCTACTGTACATCGTAATTTATTCAGTTAATTCCCATTGTTTTAAGTAATATTGTGATTTTAAAAGTTAATGGAAGGATTCATATTATCTTTTAATTCTGTTTTTCCACAAACTTTTTGAAGTACCCTTGTATATTTATATAGAAGTCTTCGCCTACATCTCAATTTCTTGAGTATAAAAAATAACAGTAAATAGGTGAGTCATACATATTTAGATTTTAGAAAGTTTGTACCAGTTTACTTTCCCATTAGCAGCTCTGGAGTCTCTTCTGTGTGTTGAGTAACATATGTGAAAACGAGGACGACTTCGTGATCTTGTACCACAGTCCCTGTTAATTATATTTGAGGGCATTGTGTCCAGCCTGTCAGCAGTGAGCAAAGGGCTCTGCACGTCTTCTCATTTCAACTTTCTTCCCACCTTTATAGTGTTACCTTCTGGACCTGTTTATTGTGATTTTGCCAATATTTTTGTTCTGTTTTGTTTTTTCCCTTGACTTCCATCTAATTCATCAGATTAGTCTTGTTGTTTGACTTTTTTGGGTGTGATAATTAGAATTTTTTGATGGTAGTCTAGGCCACAAATCACAGTAGGTAAACTGTGCTAAATTATTGCAAAGGTCACCATGCTTGTGGTATGTAAGTATATTTGAATCTTCGTTATGGTTTTGGTTAAAATTTACCAATTTCAGTAGGAGAATTTTCTCTCATATCTCTTGTCTAAAATGTAAATCAGTAGAAAAATTGATCTTACGCTGTGGAATTTTTTTCTTTATAAATTTATTTGTAGGAGAATATATTTTAGCAAAACAGTTGTTGCCTATATGATATTTTCTTTGTGTATCCATGCTGTAATACTTAATTCTTTTATTTTTACCATTTTGTTCTTATCCAATTGAGACTACTAAGATATTTATATAAAATAAACTGATCAAGAATCCGGAAACTGTTTTAGATCTTTCATAGGCAAGTTTCCCTCTTTCTTAGTATTTTGCGGATTTAAGTGGGAATGTGTGAAAACTGACCAGTAATCTGGTCAGGATGGGTGACTGATAGAGCCTGTATCTGTCCTTTTGCAGCTGGTGAGAGAGTGTAAAGAGGTCCTGAAGGGCGGCCTTTTGATGAAACAGTACTACCAGTACATGCTGCAGGAGGTTCTTGATGACCTGGAGAAGCCCGACTGCAACATTGATGCTTTTGAAGAGGACCTGCATAAAATGTTGATGGTCAGGAACAGTGGGGAAGAATTCTTTATACTATATGTTGGGTGTCTGTGTGTGTGTGTGTGTGCACAATCTTTTCATCTAGCATTAGATTACATTTGTTTCTTCTAAATCCACGATTTTTTAGCTTCATTGGTTTTGAAGTTGGAATTTTTGGACAAATGTAAGGTAGTACATTATTTAATTGTAGGATAGTTTATCTTATAGCAGAATGGCCCAGGAATAGAATCCAAATCTGGTCCTGTTTTATTGAACCGTATATCATCAGCCACTTATGTGGGATGTGCTAGGAACCTTGCATGGGTCTAGGAATAGTGGGGAATACCAAGAACGTCATTGTCTGGTGGGGGGTGGGACATGGTAGATACTTCCACCTCTGAGTGCTAGGGTAGAATATATCATCAGCCACTTATGTGGGATGTGCTAGGAACCTTGCATGGGTCTAGGAATAGTGGGGAATACCAAGAGCGTCATTGTCTGGTGGGGGGTGGGACATGGTAGATACTTCCACCTCTGAGTGCTAGGGTAGAAGTATGCTGAGCTGGACACCTACTGCCTGACTGAGCCTGGGACATCCAGGAGGTGCTTATCATGAGGAGGCTGATTCTTAAGGGTGAGTCAAGGGTTGGGCAAGGAACCTGGCACATTCATGGACTTGGTACAAACTAGTTTAATTTGGCAGGAGTTGACCTATTTTATTTTTTCCCCAAAAGAGACCCCCTGTCTGCTCACATGTGTTATACTTGCCCTGTGCTTTCTGACCTCTATACTATTGTTCATATTGTTATTTCCTGCTAGAAACGCTCCTTCTCCTTATCTGCCCATGTAAGACTTACTGTCAGGTTTTATTTTGCTCTAGAAAGCTTTATCTGGAAGTTTTAACCTTTAGCCTATATTTATGTATACCTTCTTTGAACTCTTTTATCAGTTATCATTAGAACTACACTATGTAACATTTAAACAGAGATTGTGTTCTCAGGTCTCTCTAATTAGACCAAAGCTAAATGGTCCAGGGGCTATAACTTGAAATTCCTTTGTCTTCATAATGTCTGATAGAGTGTTAATGTACAGTAAGTACATGCTGGATTCATTACGGTATACACAGAGATGATTATATAATGTGGCAGGTTGATGAATTAACAGAAAACTATGCTCATAGGTACATTGTTTTGGGATACTTTCATTCTTGCTTTAAATCTCACTGTGTCCTGCCTCGGGATGGCTGCAACACCTTCAGATACCACCCCCACTTTCTAGGATGGGAGAAAAGAAGGAAAGTCCAAATCTTCTTATGAGAACAGTAGGAGCTCTCCTGGAGCCCTACCCAGCAGATTTCTCCTGCATCTCATTGACCAGACCTGTTGCATGGCCTCATTACTGTCACAGAGTCTATAGTAGAAGTAGAGATGGAAGAACATGGCTGGGAATGGGATTTAATAATATCTTGGTATATTTTGAGAAATAATTTTAATGAGTTTGAAATTGTTTTCTAATTGGGGAGGATACATGAAAGACCAGAGTGTATAAAATGGCCGCATTTTTAAATACTATATATTTCTTATGTCAGAATAGTCTTCATCATTGACAAGTTATGGTAAGAAGCAACAAGCAACTTATTTTTTCTCTCTCTCTTTCTGTGGATGATTAAACCAGAAGTATGAAAAGACAAAATGTGCTTTACTTTCCAAACTGTCTTTGGTGGCCTTCCAAAAGCACGTCTAATGCCTTTTATCATATAATTGTGAAAAAGCGGGTAAGAAGGATCAGGCAGGTGAACTGTGCCCTTGGTGTACCTGTGAGGTAGTGGAAGCCAAGGTTAAGTGAATTACCAACATTCGCAGCTAGCTAGTCTTAGAAATGTTTCGACAATTTAGTTTTGGCTTTGCTATCAGTTACCTGCATGAGGCATAATCTCTAATTTCACAGATGAAGAAACTAGCAATTACCAGTGGATTTAAAATTGTCCCCTTTAGTGTAGTGGAAAGATCAGCACAAGGACATGTTTTGAGGACTGGGGGGAGCCCAAGGAAAATCAGTGTTTCTGTTAGGAGGGAAGGAGAGAATGGCTGTGGGACAGGCAGTCAGGTGATGTTTACCACAAAACCCTTCTCCTGAAATGCACCCAAAACAGCAAAGAAAAACATTCCATGTTCAGTAAAGGAGGAATGGGCCACAGTGTCTGTCTTCTCCCCCCCCCCCAAAATAAAAAGACTGTTTCAATTATTTGCTTGAAATGTTGACTAAAATGAGGGTGGACACCAACTGTAAATACTTCCCACTTTAGGGCTATAGGGCCCGTCAGTGATTAATTAGAGCGGTGATATCTAGGGTTACGAATAGCCATGAGAGAAGCAGGGGGTGTCCTAGCGGAGGCCCCGTTGTTGACTGAAGATCTGCAGGGCAGAAGCAGCATCAGGAGAGACACGTCCTGTCTGCAGCCTGGCCTGCTGGCTGAGGAAGGCCGCCTCACGAGAGCTCCGTCAGGGTAGGGGAAGCAGCGATTAGCAAGGTAGGATGGAGAAAGTCTGAGACTTAGGGGGCTTGACTCTGTGTTACGTCATCTACTGTACTCAGAAAACAGACGCTTACGTGCAGGTCGGAGGAACTAAGCTGGTGAGCATTTGAGGCACCAAACCTAAATTGAAGCTGTGAGCGATCTCAGTCGTTTCGCTGCTCCCTGGCCTCAGAAATAACACGATAAACATAATATATGATTTAGGAATATGTGATAGACTCAAGGAAACCACATAAAAAGAACTTAAAAGAAATGAAAATATGAGAACGATGGATAAGAAGTAACAGTTGAAGAAGACAGAGGCAAGCTCACGTGGGCACAGTTAGTGTTTCTGCAAAAGAATAAACAGCAGAGGAGCAGAGAAGATGTGGTTTTTTATTCCACAGGTTGGTTATTGGGTATCTGTTGTGTCCCAGGCAGGCATCATGTGGGTACTGAGATTCAGTGAGGAGCATAAACTGCCTCTTGGAGTTTAAGAATGATGGGGAAATGGTTATTATATAATCATAGTAACATAAAATTGCAACTGCAAAAAATGCCACAAAGGGGAGGCACAGATCTTTTATGGACTTGAGCAGCAAGATTTGAGTTCCTGTGGAGGTTAGAGAAGGAGGGTTCTCTAAGGAAGGGGCACTGGAGTTTATCTGAAGGTTGATACACACACATGCGTGCACACACGATATATATCTATATTTATTATAACCCACTTTATGCAAAAAATCAAAAACTTACACAAAACAATGCTATATAGTTTTGTAATATTAAATTGCTTTATAAAGCATATAGACTAGAGGGAAGCATACTAAATTTGGCATAATTGTTGCCTCTGGGGAAGGAAAGAGAGAGAAGTAAAGACGGAAACAATAGAGAAATTAACTTTCTGGTATCTTATGTCTTATTGAAAAAAACATCCAAAGCAAATATGAAAAAAAATTGACATTTGTTCTTTCCGGGTTATATTTATTAGAATATTTTTCAGCTTCTTTCTAGAAAAAAGAGAGAGATTGAAAGAAACACTTTGGTGACAGAGGCAGCAAATGCAGTCTCTGTGTTGGGGGAAGGGGATTAGGGAGAAATTGGTTAATGTACGCAAAGGATGAATATGTTCTGTAATGACAAATATCCCAATTATCCTGATTTGATCATCATGTATTGTGCACTGATAGTCAACTCTGTACCCCACAAATAAGTATAATCAATTATGATTCAAAAAAAATAAGTAAAAGATAATCACAGACACACACAAATACAATGAAGTTTCCAAAGAAACATTGTGAAGGGATGATTCTGGCTGCAGTTTGCAGAACAGGCTGGAGGGATCCAAAACACATGTGAGAGCAGTTTGAGGCTATTCCAGCAGCGCATATGTTAGTCCTTGGATGAGAGTGGTAGAACATATATTTAGACAGAAGTGTAAGGACTCAAAAGAAATTTAGAAAGTGAAATTGGGAGGACTCTGGGATCAATTGAATATGGGAGAGGTATTGAGAGTGACTACTGGGTGTCCAGCTTGTACAGCTGGGTGAATAGAGAAGATTATGGGTCCAGCGAGGGGTTTTTCAGTTGGTCTGAGCCCATTCGAAAGCTGTTGGGATTGACTTTGTTAAGGAAAGAGATGAGAAAAGGATCAGTCGATAGTGTGAGTTTCCTCAGAAGTCAGGGGAAGATGGGTCTCCAAACACAGGTGTAAGGATTGGGAGGAATAGTAGCTCCTCTTCTGTAAAGAAGGGAAGGAAGACAGCATGTAACAGTGGTGTAGGTTTGCATTTTTGGTGTCAGGAGGATGAGAGATTTTATATCTAATGACTTCTACTTTTTTATGTGAAGAAAGGTGAGATCATCTGCTGAGAATAGGTGGGGGTGGGTACTGGTGGTTGAGGAAAATGGAGAAGTTTCAAAATAATAGTTGTAGAGAGGAAGAAAAGGCTAGAGATAAAAGCATGATTACCAGAAATGCTTTACACCCTGTGGTTGGGGATTAGGATTGTGTAGAGCAGTGATTCCTCCCATCAGCTGACTTTCTGGTGGCCCCCAGCTTCCTGAGTGCGGGCATGCAGAATGCAGTCATTGGGCTTATGCTAGCTTTGGGCTCTGGACAGACAGGTGACATGAAAAGGCAGTAAGGGGTGGCAGGGTGTAAGATGGTGACAGGGGACTTCAGCATGCTGGCAAGAGTGCTGTTGGAAGGATAAGGCCATGGGAAATAAACCAAAAACGGAGGAAAGTGAACAAAGGAAGGGGGTTGTGAGTTGGAGAGAGATGCAGAATCAGTGAACTAGAGATGCAGATGAAATTCAGAGAACAGTTGTAGTTGTAGTGGCTGAACAAATAACCAGAAGGAAGAGAAGAGGCTTTAGCATCATGGGAAATAAACCAAAAACGGAGGAAAGTGAACAAAGGAAGGGGGTTGTGAGTTGGAGAGAGATGCAGAATCAGTGAACTAGAGATGCAGATGAAATTCAGAGAACAGTTGTAGTTGTAGTGGCTGAACAAATAACCAGAAGGAAGAGAAGAGGCTTTAGCATCAGTGGATGTTGGTACCTGTGAGTGTGTGTGGATGGTTCTGATGGGAGGCAGGGCTTCCGCTGGGCTAGGTGTGCACTGTGCAGGCACCCACCATGGGCCATGCAAGGTGAGCTGCAAATGTGGGGAGCCACTTCATTTCAGTGGATTTCCTGCTCAGCAGATCTGCCTGCGCACCTGGGGGTGGGGAGTGAGTGCTGACTGAGTTTAGATGTAGGTCTCAAAAAGACTGTGGGAATCTCCTGAGGCGGGGATTGCTGGTGTTTGTGGTGGTGGTGGGAATAGCTGGAGTCTTTTCCAGCTTACCTTCTCTCTGTCTCATTCTGGACTGGCTGGTCCCTGTGGCAGAGCTAAGGCTGGATGCCCTATTCTATTCTCTGTGGTGCTGTTCCCTTCTTCCATGGTTCACAGGAATTGCTTCACTCTCCTGGTTTCCTTGGTTTCCAGTCAGAATATATTTGTCTGTTGTTTTGGTCTCTTTTTATGGGGAAGAGACTAACCTCTAGTGCCAGACCTCTCTAGTCAGCCATTTTGCTGAAACTCTGGTTGAATTATTTCTTTTTCAATTCTTTAACCAATGTTTTTAAGCACAAATTAGATGTCAGATATTGTTCTAGGCATTTGGATTAAATCGGCATATGGATATTGCCCAGGCCTTCATTTGGGGCCTGCTTTATACTGCTTTTATATGTTAAAGTCTATGTTGTTCAAGAATCTGTGCCTTTCTAGATCTTGATTTTTGTTTTATTTTGTTGAAGAATTTTTCTGAAATAAAATGGATGTGCNACAGTTGTAGTTGTAGTGGCTGAACAAATAACCAGAAGGAAGAGAAGAGGCTTTAGCATCAGGGTGTTTGGATTGGTGATTTGGGGGTTGGAGCAGTTCTGGTATGGGGCCCTGTCGGAAGTAGAGAAAGAGTCATTGGAAATGGAGCCATCAGGGAGCTGACTCAAAATGGTGTTTGGTGGTCCGTCCACATGATGTTGACACTCAGCATTATGGCTGAGCCTGAGAAGGAGGGAAGACTGTCAGTCAGAGGCCAGAGCCTGGCAAATGAGGCCTAAAGCCTGATGGGTAATTGGAGTCACTAGATGAGTGTGAAGAGGAGGGTCGATGGTGTGGCTGATGACATAAATCTTAGAGGGGCAATGTCTTTTGTTTTTCTTTCTAAATACAAATGTGTAAGTGTAGTGGTTTGAAGTGGCAGTGAGGAGCAAGAGGATGCCGACTCTGTGCAGCCCTCGAGCCTATGGTAGGACAGGCACCCCTGGAGAGGGCGATGGAGGAGGAGAGCTGTCCGTGGAGAGAACCGGCTCTCAGGGCGGCCAAGGAGGTGAGGAGCGCTCCGTGGCGAAAGGGCGGTCTGGGCCTGGTGTGTAAGAGACTCGTTTCATGTGGATATGGTCGTGGTGGGGGCTGCACACTCACAGGTCTAGCACCCTGCAAGCCTGGAGGGCAGAGGACCCAGAGCGTTCAAAGATACAGCAGAAGAAAGTTTTTTTTGAAATAAAGAAAAGACTTGAAGTTTGCCTACTGACAATTACTGGATCTCAGGAAAAAAATCATTCCAAACAGTGAACTCTAAGATGTAGCCTGGTGAAAAAACTGAAATCCAAGGGTAGAGAAAGAGTCCTATGAACATCTAAATGTAGAAAACAAGTCACTGTCAGGAGGTGGGGAGGGTGGTGGCAGTTGGGCGATCAGAATGGCATCTCGTGCCTTCATGCTAACAGTACACTCGGCGTTAGAAGGTTGTGAAGTAGGATCTTAAAAGTTCTGAGTGAGAGAATGTGCCACACAAATATTCTCTACCCAGTTAAGTTATCCTTTAAGTAAGAGAGTCCGTAGTCAGTGATGTTCTGTGATATATGCATTGTGAGCCTATCTCAAGAAAAGCTGCTTGATAGTAAAACCCTACTAACCACCAGGTAAATCAAAATAAGAATTTAGGAATGGGAGTGCTATTATAATAGAGCTTATGATGGGCATAAACTCCATTTCAGAACAACTGGATATTTTGGTTATAGATCATAATTTATATGTCATAAACCTTGAAAAAGTTCTGTCACAAAAATCTGGATGTCAGGAAGGGATGGTGGGAAGAAGTGGCCTCGCCTCCTTCCCTCGGCACACAAGATACTGTCTGAAGCTAATGTAAATAACTAGGACAGTAGAAGTCCTAACCTCTTAAAGGAATAATGTTCACAGTATAGTCATAATGAAAAGTTCTGGGTGTTATTGGTTTGGGGTTTTTTTGTTGTTGTTGTTGTTTTTTACTTTATTATACTTTTCTACACATTGTGCACAGTTTAGTTATTTTCTTAGGAATTAGAAGGGGTTGTGAATAATGTGTTAAATTGCTGGGGAATTGAATTATGTACTTTTTAAAAGAATCTTCATTACACATCAGCTGATGATAGTGAAGAATCTTGCATCTCTGCGCATAGCGTGCTTTTAACTCTCTCCTCTCTCTTTCTCTTCTGATGTCTAGCTTTTGTGTTAACAGAGGTGAAAGTTGTGAGTTGCCGAGTTCTCTCAAATATCTCCCTTTCCTTTTTTTGTATTTTAAGGTATATTTTGATTACATGAGAAGCTGGATCCAAATGCTACAGCAATTACCTCAAGCATCTCACAGTCTAAAAAATCTGTTAGAAGAAGAATGGAATTTCACCAAAGAAATAACTCATTACATACGGGGAGGAGAAGCACAGGCTGGAAAACTTTTCTGGTAGGTATTCTTGTGCTTCTGAATGTGGATTCCTTACTTTCCTACCCTCAGTCCCAATTTTCTCATTGATTCTCTTCTACGCATTTGAAAGTTTAGTTACATGAAAATTAGTCATTCATATCTGTTATGTGCCCTCTCTTCCAAGTTTTGAGCAGTGGTTCTCAACCAGGGGTGGTTCTGCCCCCTTCGAGACACTGGCAGTGTATGGAGACATTTGTGATTGTCACGACTGGAGGGTGTTATTGGCGTTTAGTGGGTAGAGACTGGGGATATGCTGTTGAACATTTGACAGTGCACAAGACAGCCCCCACAACAGAATTATCCACCCAAAATGTCAATTTTGAATTTGAGAAATCCTGCCTTTCAGTAAATCCTCTTGTGGTTTTTGTTTTTGTATTTTTTTTTTTTTAAACAAAAGGAAGGAGGAGTTAAGTTCTTTAAGAGTAGAATAGAACTGCGTGTGTCAATCTTGGTGGTGAGAAATCCTGCCTTTCAGTAAATCCTCTTGTGGTTTTTGTTTTTGTATTTTTTTTTTTTTTTAAACAAAAGGAAGGAGAAGTTAAGTTCTTTAAGAGTAGAATAGAACTGCGTGTGTCAATCTTGGTGGGGACATTTAGAACTGAAGTATGTGTTTTCAGTGGTACTGTTATGGGGATGTAATACTAACCACAGAATCTCTTGATAAACTGGGTTTATGTATGAGGAAAGAATAGAAATGTAAACAAAGGAAAGTCACGAGGAGGGAATGCAGTCCTTGTCTGTTTCTTCTGGGAAAGGTGTGTATTTTCTTGACTGCAGACCTATGGATGTTGAACACAGGGTGCACTGCAGTGGTCTTTGCTGGTGGCGCCCCACCGCAGACTTGATTTGACACAGTGAGGAGAGTGTTCTTCTGTGCTCTAGAAGAACACAGTGTTCTTTTTACGTCCTCTCTCTAATTTGAGTGAGCCGTGAACTTGCTCTTGTCTCATGACTTTCCCAGTCCTCCAGGCTGGCATCCTTGTGCTGCCCTCTCCCACTTGTCTCCTTTTATTTCTTCTGTTTTATTTCTTCTGTCTCTGTTGTATAAGGCTTTCATGCCCCGCTCAGGGGTTCTTCTCCCTTTGTGTCCATTCTGTGCTACTTCAGCTCTCACGCTGAGTGCTCTTCCAGCTTCAGTGACTCATGGTTCTGGACTCCACCGATCTCTGTCTCATACTTAGTATCTCAGTCTTGTATCCACTTTTCTGCCCTAATTGCCGATTCTTTTTCATCCTCTCTCTTTATTTTGTGTGAGCAGTGAACTTGCTCTTGTCTCGTTACTCTCCCATTCCCTCAGCCTGACTCTCCTTGCTTTCCTATGCAGCTTGGTTCCTATAGTCAAACTTTTTGAAAAGTGCATTCATGGCCATTTTCAACATCTCTCCCCTCTTAGTTTTCCATAATTCTGCTTTGCCTATAATTCCTTCTATTTGCATTTTGTTTCCAGCCTGTCAAGCTTTGTTGAAATTTTTTAAAAGGTTACTGACTAGTTTCACTACAAATTCATGATATGTAATTTTGCTGTACCCTCACTTCTTCCTGTCAGACTTTGTGTTTTTATCTTTTATCTTTTGCTTGACCTTCACATTCCCTAGAGTGTAGTCTCTGGCCTTTGCACTCATGTTCCTTGTTCTGTGAACCTCCCAGCTTTTTTACTGTCCCTTCTTGTGGGACTGCCTGCTTCTGCTCTGCTAGTGCTGGACTCTATTGCATTTCGTGTGACTATAGCAACTTCTGCTTCATATACTATTTCTCCCAGGTTCAATCAGTGTTAAAATCAACCCTTATTTCTTTCTTTCTCACACACACATTCTCTGTTTCTTTTGGTTGTCCCTTCAGGGTGCATCCAGAATCTGACCTTTGCTCACCGCCTCAGGCTACTGCTCTTCGCAGGTTGTCATTTCTTACATGCAGTAGCTCTTTAAGAAGTCTCCCTTGTTCTGTCTCCTATAGTTTATTCTCAGTGCCATAGCCAGAGTGATCTTGTCAAAATGTACATCATACCATTTTCTCCTCTCGATACTCCAGTGGCTCCCTATCTTAGTAAAAGCGAGAGTGCCTAGACAGTGGCCCATCCTGATCTGACCTCTCATTTGTCCTCATCTCCTGCTAAACTGTGTTGTGCTTACTCTGCAGCCACAGTGGTTTCTTACTGTTTCCCACAGGCTGGACATGTTCCTGCCTCAGGCCCTTTGCACTTGCTGATCCCTTTACATGGAATGCTATTCCCCAAGTTCTTTTCATGACTCATTTCTCCACTTCCTTCAGGTCTTTGTCCAAATGTTACCTTCTCAGTATATTTAAAATTGAAATTCCTACCCACAAGTACTCTTTAGCTTTTTTCCTATTTTCTTCCACTCTATAGCACTTGCTAATATCTGAAATACCATATATTTTTCCTTTTTTGTTTTATTTATTGTTTTTCTTTACTCATTGGAGGGCTTTTATCTGCTTTGTTCACTACTGCTTAGTATATAGTAGGTACTCAATATTTGTTGAATAAATCCATCGTGGATATCCTTGTGTTTTATTCTTCCTAAAAGCATGTTTCTAATCAAATCCTTTCCCACTCAGATATTTTAAAGCCCATCTTCTTTGCCTACCAAATGATTGAACTAATTTCCTGGATGTCCAAGGCCGTCACAGGATGGCTCCAATTTACTTGTCCAGTCTTATTCCACCACCCCTCTGTAGCATAAATACCCTCTACTCCTTTCAGATTGGACAGTTTCTTTTATCACAAATATGCCTCTTGCTTGACACATCTTCATGCCATTTGATTCTATTTATTTTTCTTTCTGGACTTTCCTTGTCCCTCCTCCATTTTCTTCCTGGCAGATACCCTCTTCCCACTATTATTCTGCCCATTACAGTTCTGCGTTTGCCTACAAGGCCCATTGCAGGGCTTTCTGGCTATGAAACGTGCCTTCAGCTGGGTATGCAACTGTGCCCTCAGTGGGTTTGCACTTTCTCTTCTGACAGCAGCCCTAGCACTCACCTTCTGCCACATCTGATGCTGGCTGTATACTTACCTGCTTTCTCTCACTTGATCATAAGCTCCTCTCCTTGAACATCATAGAGGCCAATAAACTGTTGTTGCATTTTTATTACACTCATTTAGATTTATTTTATACATTTGGGTGTACATTTTAACACTAGTGTTTAGATTGTGTATTCAGTGAGGAAGATCAGCTATATAGAGTATTTCATGTTTATTGACATAAAAAGCTAATTGTGAGGGAAATTTTTAAAAACAGTTGCATTTAAGGAATTCACTTTGTTTTTCTATCCTATCATTTTGTTTGTTTGAGGCTATTTTATACCATTTTGAGCATTTGTTTAAGATGAAAATAATATTTGTGTAATAATCACATAGCTGCTATGAATACAACTTAAGGTTTTAAAGTTTATCATGAAATACTGTGGTAATAGAACAAAAGGTACATGCCATAACCCAGATTTCTACTTTTTCAAATTAGTCATGATTTTATGTTAAAAGAAAATTCTCATTGTACTTGATTTTTAAACTATTGAAGCAATAGCTGAGCCTTTCAGTTTTTCATTCAAGAATGAAGATATGATTGAGGACAGTTTCCTTCTGTGTTTTATTTTTTGTTATTTTTGTTCCCTTAGTGACATTGCGGGAATGCTGCTGAAATCTACGGGAGGTTTTTTAGAATTTGGCTTACAGGAGAGCTGTGCTGAATTTTGGACCAGTGCTGATGACAACAGTGCTTCAGATGAAATACGGTTGGAGTTGCATTTTCTTTCCTCTTCTATTTCTTATCTTCTGTAGTTTTACTCTTGGTGAAGAGCCTAGAGTGAATCTTGTTCAAACCCAGTTGTGTTGGACTGGAAGAATTGGGGCAGTAGAACTAAAGAGATTTCTTTACATCATCTTTTCTTTTCATATGATCTCTTGGTTATTATTTTTTGTAAAATTTTCTTTGAAGGTGAACTTAGAATTTATTTAGCATAATAAAAATAGTGCCTTTAGAGGAAGGGATATAAAGTTGACTCAAAATGGATAGAAATTATCTCCATCCACATTTTCTGGAATGTCTTTAATTAAATATTATGCTTTTGTCTTTTAAAACCTCTGCAGCAGTCCATGAGTACATTTTAATGACACTTGATACATTTTATTGTTTTTATGCTCAGCTTATTCCTTCCATTGAACTTTAAGCTTACGTGTATGAAACCATGGCTTTCTCGTCTGTTGAATTTCCTCCAATTCCATGCAGATAATATGTAGGCTGAATCATGTGAAATTGCTATTTTTTGTGGCGTATATGAGAGTACTTCAAAAAGTTCGTGGAAAGATTTGTATTATATTTCAATTCTGTTTTTCTACAAATTTTTCGAAGTACCCTTGTGTATCAGCAATATAGCCATTTTCTGACCATCTATCAGCACTGTCATGTGATTCAATCTTAGCAAATGCTCAAATGGAACTGATTTCTCTAGAGCAGAACTAAAATGTTTTCTCTCATCGTCCAGACCATGATGAAAAACACTTTTTGGGTTTCAGAAAACCTGGAATATTTTTATGCCAGGGTTAGAGAAAGAAGTTTCCACATAGATTCTCACCTGGAAAATATTAACTGAGAAATGGAATGAATCAGATTGTAGGTCTTGATGGTTTTTGTGAGCTAACACAGTGGATTCAAAATAAATATGAAAATTCAAGAATTAAGATGGTGAACTAGAGAATGGCTCTTAATGATGCTTTGCTTGTTTACTAAGGAGGGTTCTATGTGGGGGGTTTGTATACAGTGATGTGCTGGAACTGGCTTGTCCTGGTTTGAGAGCTGATTGTGTACATCTCTTCCCAAGTGATACCCATAGTGCCACCTTGAAATCAGCTATGATGGGAGTGTTTACACCACAGAAGTAGGCATATACAATGTAAGATGGTATTTTGGGGGAAGAGTTGTTAAACATTTACCAGACTGCGCTGTATATATTTCTTTTTAATTAGATTATGAGCTGGAAGTCAAGAACTTCTCTCAAACTCTGAGAAATTATCCTAATGAAATCTTTAGAAAATTGAGCTTACTGTTACTTGAAGGTTATTAAATGGGCCCTTACTTATATTTGAAAGACACAAATAGTTTCTACTAAACCATGAGGCACAAGCTTCTGGTTATTTTGAATACATTCTCAATAATTGCTTGCTCTCATTTAAAAAATCTGCAGTCTTTATTTATTACTGTGATTTGGAATTGGCTTCATCTTTGCTGTTAAATGCCTCTTGCACCTCTGGAGCATACGCTAATGTGTTCTGATTGGACTTCAATCCACTTGGCAGGAGATCTGTTATAGAGATCAGCCGAGCACTGAAGGAGCTCTTTCACGAAGCCAGAGAAAGAGCCTCGAAAGCACTAGGATTTGCTAAAATGTTAAGAAAGGTGAGTTTGCAATCCTGATTAATAATTGTTATATTTTTCTTTTATCTTATTTTTTAAGAAAGCTAATCCTAAAGAAGTTTCTTTGTAACTATGATCCTAGGACCTGGAAATAGCAGCAGAATTCATACTTTCAGCCCCAGTTAGAGACCTCCTGGATGTTCTGAAATCAAAACAGTATGTTAAGGTAAATATTTAAGATGGTGTAATTAAAGTATTTTGCCTTTCCTACTTTATTCTAAAACAGGCAAACTTTTTTTAAAGGTCCAGATAGTAAATATTTTAGGCTTTGGAAGCCATACATTAACCCCATTAATAGGACTGTGCCATAATTTGACAGTGAAATCGTTAGAAAAACAAACTTTTTCATACTTATTAACTTATGTTAAGAATGCAAATAAATAACCAAATATTCACTTATAGTATTTAATTAATAAAATAAAAAGAAAATCCAAATCTTTCCATGAGCCTTTTGAAGACCCCTTGTGTGTGTGTGTGTGTGTGTGTTTGTATTATATGCAAGTGTGTATTTTAGCTTTTTTCTGTTTTTTTTTTAATTTTAAATTTTTTTATTTTAAAGTAATTTTCCCCTCATATATATTTAAAATAATGTGCATAAAAATATTGCTTATAAATAATGGTTTTGTTTTTCACCATCACATTTCCTAAAGCAGTTCAAAGGTTTTACATGAATCTTTGATATCGGTGTCCTCCTGGTCATCACTAGAGCCACGTTTTAGGTCATCATCTTTATACTCCCTTTTACTTTTAGAATCTGTGTATGATGATGTCCCAAGCCCGCAATTTTATCCCAAGCACATACCTGGGGTGGGATGTGTGACCTGCACAATGTCATTCATATGTATCCCTTACTAAAATGATCTCTAAGAGGCTTTTTATGATTATTCCCCCCTTCCCCCTGCAAATAAGTAGTAAATCTGTGTTAATATTTTCTACCTTTTTACTGAGTCAGAATTACCACTAGCATTGATTGAGGTTGTTTCAGACTGATTCATCTCCTAACGAGTATTTTCTTTGTTGTTGAAAATGAAACAATTAAGAGGATGCCCTGGAATTGGAGAAACTACAAGCATCTCTCCTCTGATACATTCCCAAGTTCTCTCTCCTCCCCTCCCTCCTTGAGCTGTACTGAGTAAAACTACTTGCAAATTCCCCTCACTGTCTGATGAATGCCTTTCCCACACCCCCTTCCCCAAGTCTGCTTGTCTTTTTCTAGTTTTTTTTTTTTTTTAATAACGTATTTCTGTAATGTGCAGTGTTCCTTAGTTTCAGATTGGATTATTTCTTTTCCAGATACAAATTCCTGGATTAGAAAACCTGCAAGTGTTTGTTCCAGACACTCTTGCTAAGGAGAAGAGTATTATTTTGCAGTTACTCAATGCAGCCGCAGGAAAGGACTGTTCAAAAGAGTCAGATGATGTGCTCATTGATGCCTATCTACTTCTAACCAAGCATAGTGATCGAGCCTGTGATTCAGATGACAGCTGGGTCGCATGGGAAGCACAACCTGTCAAAATTGTGCCTCAGGTGGAGACTGTTGATACCCTGAGAAGCATGCAGGTATGTCTCACTCCTGGTTCCCACACCCACTTCCCACCCCCATCTTTCAGTGGTCTTACTTACTTAAAATACTTAGGAAAAATGAATTATTAGCAGCTCATGAATGATTGGTTTAACCGCCCTGGTAATCTCAAGTGTATATTTACCCAAAAAGTGCCTCAGTGATTTAGTAGGTAATTTTGCAGCATAATTTGTTCTAGAATATTTCATTAAATTCTATTAAGTAATGTAAATTCTCTTACATAATGTAAATTATACCAGAATCTTCAAAATAAACCATCTATTTCATCTGTACCTTTTTTTTTTAGTACAGTCATGTAATTAAATCTAAAATGAATTATGTCACTAACGTAATTTGTAGTTCCAGAAATCCCAGTTCTTCAAGTATTCTGGTTTACTGGTTGTTATTTAGTTTTCATTTTGTAGTTGTCTCCCTCCACCCCACACATCTGCTCTTTCTCCTGTGCTCACTGTCTCAGGAATGGTGATCTATCCACTCACTAGGTTAAGCCAGAAATGTGATGGTTAATATAAATTCAGCCTCCCACCCTTCCTACTTAATCACTAGCCCTGACAAGCCGGAAACATTTGCAGTAAATGATCCTTTCTCGCATCCCCACAGCAGCTGCCATAGTCAGAACTTCACCACCCCTTCCACAACTATTGAGAAAATCCAAATCTTTCCATGAGCCTTTTGAAGACCCCTTGTGTGTGTGTGTGTGTGTGTGTGTGTATTATATGCAAGTGTGTATTTTAGCTTTTTTCTGTTTTTTTTTTAATTTTAAATTTTTTTATTTTAAAGTAATTTTCCCCTCATATATATTTAAAATAATGTGCATAAAAATATTGCTTAGAAAATCCAAATCTTTCCATGAGCCTTTTGAAGACCCCTTGTGTGTGTGTGTGTGTGTGTGTTTGTATTATATGCAAGTGTGTATTTTAGCTTTTTTCTGTTTTTTTTTAATTTTAAATTTTTTTATTTTAAAGTAATTTTCCCCTCATATATATTTAAAATAATGTGCATAAAAATATTGCTTATAAATAATGGTTTTGTTTTTCACCATCACATTTCCTAAAGCAGTTCAAAGGTTTTACATGAATCTTTGATATCGGTGTCCTCCTGGTCATCACTAGAGCCACGTTTTAGGTCATCATCTTTATACTCCCTTTTACTTTTAGAATCTGTGTATGATGATGTCCCAAGCCCGCAATTTTATCCCAAGCACATACCTGGGGTGGGATGTGTGACCTGCACAATGTCATTCATATGTATCCCTTACTAAAATGATCTCTAAGAGGCTTTTTATGATTATTCCCCCCTTCCCCCTGCAAATAAGTAGTAAATCTGTGTTAATATTTTCTACCTTTTTACTGAGTCAGAATTACCACTAGCATTGATTGAGGTTGTTTCAGACTGATTCATCTCCTAACGAGTATTTTCTTTGTTGTTGAAAATGAAACAATTAAGAGGATGCCCTGGAATTGGAGAAACTACAAGCATCTCTCCTCTGATACATTCCCAAGTTCTCTCTCCTCCCCTCCCTCCTTGAGCTGTACTGAGTAAAACTACTTGCAAATTCCCCTCACTGTCTGATGAATGCCTTTCCCACACCCCCTTCCCCAAGTCTGCTTGTCTTTTTCTAGTTTTTTTTTTTTTTTAATAACGTATTTCTGTAATGTGCAGTGTTCCTTAGTTTCAGATTGGATTATTTCTTTTCCAGATACAAATTCCTGGATTAGAAAACCTGCAAGTGTTTGTTCCAGACACTCTTGCTAAGGAGAAGAGTATTATTTTGCAGTTACTCAATGCAGCCGCAGGAAAGGACTGTTCAAAAGAGTCAGATGATGTGCTCATTGATGCCTATCTACTTCTAACCAAGCATAGTGATCGAGCCTGTGATTCAGATGACAGCTGGGTCGCATGGGAAGCACAACCTGTCAAAATTGTGCCTCAGGTGGAGACTGTTGATACCCTGAGAAGCATGCAGGTATGTCTCACTCCTGGTTCCCACACCCACTTCCCACCCCCATCTTTCAGTGGTCTTACTTACTTAAAATACTTAGGAAAAATGAATTATTAGCAGCTCATGAATGATTGGTTTAACCGCCCTGGTAATCTCAAGTGTATATTTACCCAAAAAGTGCCTCAGTGATTTAGTAGGTAATTTTGCAGCATAATTTGTTCTAGAATATTTCATTAAATTCTATTAAGTAATGTAAATTCTCTTACATAATGTAAATTATACCAGAATCTTCAAAATAAACCATCTATTTCATCTGTACCTTTTTTTTTAGTACAGTCATGTAGTTAAATCTAAAATGAATTATAGCGGGAACCGGTCTGTATGTGGGATCCGAACCCTCGGCGGGAGCGCCGCCGCGCTTCCCAAGCGGCGCACTATCCAGTGCGCCACCAGGCCGGCCCTCATCCACACTTTTCTACAGTCATCAGTTATGTCTTTTAGTCACATTAAGGCTTGACTCTTGAAGAAGAAGCACTCCCTGAGATTACAAGTCATTTGGTAAACATTTGTTTTTCTTCTGTCATTCTGATTTGTCTTACTTATATGTAAACATTTATTAACTAAATGTTTCTCTTATCTCTCTCGTAGATTGTAATCTCACCCTGACACCAGGGCAGGGGACTTTTGTCTTTTTTTTAGTTTGAGCCAGAGAACTCTGGAGAAAGTAAAATGATATAAGATATTGATTATTCTTGAGCTTAAGGAATTTATAGCCCTAAGGACCTGAACTGTCACACCAAAGTACAGAGGAGGGAGAGATTACAGCCTCCTAATAGCATCTGGGAATAGCACCGTGGTGGCATTTCAGCTTAGGAGGATTTCAAAAGATGCAAATTGAGAATGAACTGACGAAAGGAACATTTGGGCATTGATGTCTATGGATTTAGGTTCTGGGTATATTCACTGAATATCACATAGTCTGATTTGGCTGGGTTTTGATGTGTACAATGGAAAGAAATAGGAGATAAGCCAAGGTGGGCAAAAATCAGGTGGTTGAGAGAGATCGGATTTTATTTTCTAAGCATGAGGGAGTTGTTGAAGATTTCAGAAAAATGTTTTATAACAATATGTAGGGGGATTGCTTGATGGAGACCCTGTGTATGCTTATGTGTTTAAGGACAGGTGGAAAGGGAGAGCAATTTGGAGTTGTTGTGGTGTTGCTTACAGAGACAACAAAAGTTTAACCAGGGCAGGATTTCTCAACCTCCACACCGCTGACATTGTGGGCCAGTAATTTCTTGTTATGTGTGTGTGTAGATGGGCTACATCTGTGCATTGTAGTATGTTTAGCAGCACCCCTGGCCTTTACCCGCCAGGTGCCAGTAGATTCCATTCCTTCTTCAAAGTTTTTGGAACCAAAAATATCTCCAGACATTGCCAAAAATATCCCTAGGTAATGTCACCAGACATTGAGGATGGGGGCAAAATCAGTCCCAGTTGGGAACTCCTGGACTAGAGAGTAGCCAGGAAATGAGAAGGACAGTGTGATTTGATATTGCTCTGGAGGTCATTTAGAAATTTGTGGGTATTTTCACTCCGTGGAAGTGAAACCATACTTATGTTTGAGCAACCCCCCAAGAGTAAAAAACATGGGTGGTTGATACAAAAAAATATTGAAGGCACAAGTGTCTATTCTAAGACCAGATTGTAGTTATGCATTATCATGTATTTAACATCAATTTAAGATTTTTTCCTCTTGTGTTTCATAAGATGTTCAAGAATGCCTAATACAAATAAAAATGAAAATAATAGAATCTCCTCTGTATTCATTCATTCATTCCTTTTGATAACTAGAATAAATGTGACCGAAATGTATTGCAGTGATTAATGTCTGTTTGATGATGAAGGAAAGGTTCCTTTAAAATGCAATGTGTGTTGTATGATTTGCTTCATTTTGGATTAATCATGGTTTGGGTCTCTTTAGAATGATGCACTAGAGCTATGCAACAGAATAAGCAATGCCATTGACCGAGTGGACCACATGTTCACATCAGAATTTGATGTTGAAGTTGATGAATCTGAATCTGTCACATTGCAGCAGTACTACCGAGAAGCAATGATTCAGGGGTACAATTTTGGGTTCGAGGTAGGTATAAAAGAAGAGGAAAAACACAGGACAGTTTAGTAACTACTTTGTAACTTGTGTACAGAAAGTATTATAAATCTTTTACGGAAAATCTGATATTAATTATAATCACAGGTTAGTTAAGAATGTCATCTTACACCATTGCTGGATATTATAAATGTTAGTTTATTTTTAAACTGTCAGATAATTGCCCACTTTTTATTTTGTGCCCACTTTCTTCTTACGTTTTATCAGCACTGCGGTTTAAACAACTGAGCTAAGCAGCCAGCCCTACTTACATTTTAAAACTTAATTTACAAGATATTTAATATAATAAAAACACATTCTTAAACTTATGAGTAAAATAGTTATGAAACTGCATTTCGAGACACTATACTCTCTATAATTCTGCATGCTATTCAGAATATATAAATTTTAATTGGATTTTCTTTCTGTTTTAGAAAATGACATTTTAAACAGACATGGCATTATAATGTGTAGGTATTACTATAATAATTGTATTCTTCTTAATTTTGATATACATGGAATCTTCTTACAGTATCATAAAGAAGTTGTTCGTTTGATGTCTGGAGAGTTTAGACAGAAGATAGGAGACAAATACATAAGCTTTGCCCGGAAATGGATGAATTATGTCCTGACTAAATGTGAGAGTGGTAGAGGTACACGACCCAGGTAATAACCCAGTAGGATGTATGCTGCACGAGTCGTGTGGGGTTTTGCCTAGTACTCATATTTTGTTTGTATATGTTACATGCGATTTTTGAGGAGATGACACAAGAAGGAGCAGTCTCAACTCCTTGATGACACTTTTTTTTTTCTTTTAATGGAAGTATGTAACTAATCCCCCCACCCCATTTTTTTGGGGGTTCCAAACTGACTTATCTTTAAGGGTGTTCACATTCTCCCTGGATAAGTCTTCCTGATTGCTAATCTTTTTTTCCTTCCTCATGAAACTTAAGCCTGGTACTTAGTGTAAATGAAAAACAAATTGGTAACCAGTTTATTTATTAAGAAGCTATTTTGGAATTTGCAGAGGAAAAATGTGTAAATCATCCGTGAGGCTCAATAGTAGCTCCACTGAAGTAAACATAATTATTAAAGTATTATGACTCTGTGAGAAATAGCTGGGTGTTCTGTAATTCATAATGGAGGGACATCATGGGACACTTTTAGGACCATTTTCCATGTTGGAGAAAACACAAATTTGCTATGCCTGGGACTAAAAGTAGGAACTTTGTATATCACAACTCATAAGTAATTGAATTACAAATGGCACCCATCTCTTCTAAAATTTTTCATGCTTCCCATTGGCTTAAAAAAAAAAAAGCCATTTTGTCTTTCTTTCCCAAAAGGTCACTCTGTAATACCTTCTCAACTCTACAAATGGCACCCATCTCTTCTAAAATTTTTCATGCTTCCCATTGGCTTAAAAAAAAAAAAAGCCATTTTGTCTTTCTTTCCCAAAAGGTCACTCTGTAATACCTTCTCAACTCAGTCATTTATATAAAGGCAAAAAAATGTGTTTTGTCCTAGATAGTAATTTTTTAATTACATTTCACTGTTGTGCAGTCTAAAATTGCTACAGCATTTTCTTGGTTATTTTGTGATTATTAAACTTTTTCATGTAACAGATGGGCAACTCAAGGATTTGATTTTCTGCAAGCCATTGAACCTGCCTTTATTTCAGCTTTACCTGAAGATGACTTCTTGGTATGGGATATTCTAAAGTTTTTTTCATTAAAAAATGAAGAAGTTGATTATTCTCTATTCTCTATTCTCTGTATATTTTTATATATAACAGTGGTTCTTAAATATTTTTTACACAATTGTAATCATAATGCCTGAGAAGTTAAAGCACTCTTAATAGCATAGTAAGATATTCAGTGTTCTTTTCTTTTTGTAGCAATAGTGTTCAGCTAAATCAATGTCTAGTTGTTTGTAAACCCTGGCACTTCTAAAATATTTGTTAGCTTCGTATTTTATAAACTATAAAATTTAGCCAATTTAGTTGCTGCTTTTTGGTAGTTTAATGAAGAATAGGATTAACTATTTCACTTCGTTGTGCATCCTTTGAGAGCCTAAGGCCAGTGTAAGTATTATCACTGTTATTCAGATAAATTCCATCAGGTCAAAAAATGTTTAGAATATGAATTCATTCATTTCATCCTCCCAATAGTAGAGATGATTACAAGGAAAGTTCTTTGCTTGTGCATATAATTGTGTTATGGGGAATTGACTGCTAATTTGCTTTTATTTATAAAAATGGAATTGTTTACTGTACTATTTTAAATAATGTACAATTTGTGTTCAGTTTATGTTTTTACCTATTTCTAAACTAACTTTGAAAATATTTACGAGACTAGCATGTTTCTTTGAAATATACTGAAAACCTAATTTGTGCTACTTATATAATGAAGAGGGTTTACATTGTTTCTCTTCTCCTTTCCTATTTTTCTTTGGTTTCCAGAGTTTGCAAGCCCTGATGAACGAGTGCATTGGCCACGTCATAGGAAAGCCGCACAGTCCTGTTACAGGTTTGTACCTTGGTAAGACAGCCCTACAGCATTTCTCCTGGAGCCTAATGGTTTGGGTGAACAGATCATCTTGTTTTTGCAGGCATTTAAAATAGTGTAATAAGTGTTTTAAGAATATTCAGGAAAGAGACAACGAAAGTGACACAGATGAGGTATGTACATGGAGAGCTCCACAGTGATCTTTGTAAATCCGACAGGAATATTAAACTGCCAGCGTCAGGTATTCCCTGCTCGCCAGCAACGTTAAACTTCAGTTTTTTTTCCTACACCAACACTACTATTCCATTCTCCCCCTTAAAATCTTTTCTTTTCGGGAGGAAAGACTGGGAGAGAGAGTTGTCTGTCAAGTAGCAGGAGCCTCCCCTGCTGCAGGTGGATGAGTTTTTCTTTTTCTCCTTCTTTACCTTTTGAATGAGAAGGGCATTTATTTTTACCACAGTTTTCCTAATTACCATTTCCCCACTAACCATAGTAAATTCTGGTTTGATTTTACTTAAAAAAAATCAAGTTATGCTATGCTACGATATACATTACTTTAATTTCAGTTTTCAATTACAATTAATATACAGTTTTACAGTATATGTTGAAACTTTAAAAACAAAATATATATGAAGAAAAAGCTTTGTTTTATGCTGTTCTTGAGATAGTCTGTAAATTAAACAAAACTGTATGTGTAATAAACACCTGAAAATGAAAACTTAGAAATTTTACATAATTTAAATTAAACAAAACAATTCACAAATGGTAAACATATTGAAACCAACTCTATTTCTTAAAGTGTACTTGATAGCTGCAAAAAATTTAGGACAAAAGATTTTAGTCGTTGGTTTCTTTTTTTAAAAATTCAGTCAGTTTATAACTCTTTCTCCCAAGGCTGTTATGAAAGTGAAAATTATTTGCAAATCTACTTGAGTGTTTTATATAAGACATGCTGTATTCTTATCCAACTTTTGCTTAAGCATATTATCATAATAGACTTTGATTTTCTGATCTCTTAAAATATTTCTCTAAATATATGATCAATTCAGTGAGAAATACTTTAAAATATTTCATTATATAAGGAATCATTTGTATTGTAGAAAAATTGCAATATAGAAAAAGCATATGGAAAAATGTAGAAGATGCATGTTTAGAAAAATTTTTAACGTAGTAGGCCGGCCCGGTGGCGCACTGGATAAGTGCGCCGCTTGGGAGTGCGGTGGCGCTCCCGCCGAGGGTTCGGATGCCACATACAGACTGGTTCCCGCTCACTGGCTGAGCGAGGCGCGGGAGCAGCACCGAGGGTTGCAATCCCGTTGCCGGTCCCCGGTCCGGTATGGGGGCAACACTGAGGGTTGCGATCCGTTGCCGGACACGGAAAAAGATAAAAGACAAAAAAAAAAAAAAAAAAAAAAATTTTTTTAACGTAGGGAACAATTCCAAAGGACAAAAGAAAAAAATACTCATGCTCCTGTAATCCAAAGGTAATCCCTGGTAACATTTGAATCAGTAATCTTTTTAATATGCCTGTCACTCCACACTGTCAGTGGGATAGTTAATTGATAGCACTCTCTATAGACTCACGTTGTCCTTTGTCCTCTCAGCCACCATGGGATGGTGTACCTGAACTCAGAGTCAGATTGCCTGCAACAAGTGACCTAGGGCTGCTCATTTAACATCATTGAGCCTTCCCTTCTAATGCACAAAATTGGATGCTAATAAGAATTAAATAAGGTTTTCATAGTTTGTAAAGTCTAGTATTCTGTACACAACAGGGATAATCATTTTGTTTTGTGTTCTTTTCCTATAAGAGAAATTAATGAAAACGAGAGCACAGCCATTTTTGTTGTTATTGTTGCTTACTTTCTTCCTTCCCCTCTGCTTTAAGCACGTAACTAATGATAACAGCCTGATGTATATAACCTTCCGTATTTTCTTTGTATTCATGTAATTATATAAACATATTCTACCATATTTTTCTCTGTTCATATCATCAAACAAGCATATATAGGGTTGTTTTCCTGCCATTTACTGTATAAAAATTGGATCATATTGGATATTAATCTCTCTTCTTATCTGACAGTTGTACAAATTCCTCCATGTCAACAGGTTTAAATCTAATTCGTTCTCTTTAGTGGCCACAATGTGGCCATCATAGATGTACTGTAATTCTTCCTACCATTTCTTTATAGGCTTTTGTTTGTTTTGGCCATGAAAAGTATCTCTATGATAAATGTTCACCACTAGTGAAACTTGAACATCTATTTGATGTTTACTGGCCATTTGAATTTTCTTTCCAATGAATATCCACAGTTTTGCAGCATTAAATATACACACTCTTAAAAGAAGTGTGCTTTGTGTGTGAAGAATATTAAGCTTGTGTGTGTGTGTGTGTTTTAAAAAACAGAATGTCTTTATTTTATACCTTCATGGGAAGATTTTATATAATTATTGATTCATTAGTTCCTAGTATCTTTGCTGGATTGAAAACATCATCCTCACCAAGTTATTTTTGTTGTTTTTTCTCTTTTTGCCTTTGTTACTATTGAATTTCTTCCATTTGGCATTGTTATAATTGAGATAATGAATCAGAGACACAGACTGCCTGACTTTTTTGGTTAACAGTTGCTTGATTTCTCTTTTGCAAGGGAACTTTATATCTGTCCATTTTTGTTACTTCTGTCTCTCCTGTGTAATGTTATTAAGCAGAAACAAACGAAACTATAAAGAAGATTTTTATTTAGGAAAAAACATATGTAAGACTAAAATTATTAACATATGAAGAGAAAATATGACATTTAAAAAAAAAAACTAAGGAGTAATACAGATAGAAGTAAGAGAAAAACATGTTAAGGAGAAATAGGCAAAATATAACACCTGTCCATTAGTATTTGGGAAAGTGGAATTGTTAGCATTTTTGTAATGACTAGGTAAGATCTATAGTTTTGAAATTTAAGTTTTATCCATATTTGCCTTCTACTTAAAACATTTAAACTAAGAAAAGAACACGTGCTCTGGAAAAAAAAGTCCAGTTAAATTGTTCCTCATCCACCTGGTTTGGCTCAAAGGAATTAAATAAAACTCCATGTACTTAGGCAAATGATAGTGGCCCCAACTCAGGACCTGTTGAAGTATCCCCAATGACCAGAATCTTTTTAAAGTGTAGAGAACATAAAGAACTCCGTTTTATTAGATGACAAATAAGCCACATTTTTATCTCTCCCTTAAATGGGTTAAAATAATTTGTTTAACATACATTATGTACATTCCATTCCAGGATTTAAAGAAATGTGTTTGAACGCATAACGTAGCTTATTAACTTTTAAAAAGTGACATTTTCCATAATATTTGTGTATGTAATGTGATTTTTTCTTATTTAATTGGATTAATTTTGGTCACTGGCAAAATTAATTGACATTCCATTTTATTGCCTGGTTTGACAATTTTCCATTTACCACTTTAACAAGTTGCCTTTGTTGCTATTTCCACTGGCAGCTATTCATCGGAACAGCCCCCGTCCTGTGAAGGTGCCTCGATGCCATAGTGACCCTCCTAACCCACATCTAATTATCCCAACTCCAGAGGGATTCAGGTATTTGGTGCTCATCTAGTCATTTGCTTTGTAGGTTCTTCTATGATGTGCATGCTAATGCTCTTGAAACTACTGGATGCTTGCTATGAGAGCTGAAGATTTTTTCTGCATTCTTGTTCATACACTTTTAAAAGCTCTTCTTTGCATTATCTTGAAGACATACTATAATGCCTTAGTTGCAAAAGAATAAGATATGCAATTTTAAAACAAACCTGTACCTTTTAAGATAACTTAGTTTCCCAGCTTATTTATAACCTCAAGCTACTGAATGCTTTCTGGCTTTGGAGAAATTCTTTCCTTTTCTGTCTTTGAAAATTACCTTAGGAAAACAAATTTGAGTGTGCGTAGCATAGTAAACATTTGAAAAACAATACTAAATATCACGTTAAAAGTGGAGAAAAACTGGAATGACCTTTCCAGTCTTGATTTTCATGTGTATATGTAATTACAAAGCAACTTAAATGCTAAAGTGAGTTCAGAAACTCTAGTACATCCGTAATAATTACCTTGAATGTGGTGGCATTTCTGCATCTTGAAGTAGTGAGCATTCTCTCTCCCCTATGTAATCACTTCTTAAAAGTTAATTTTATTTGACAGCATTTGTGAGGTAAGGACCACAATTATTTTTTTAAAAGCCTTGAAATTAGTTTTTTTTCTTTTTCACTCCGAGACCTGAATCTCAAACAACAATTTATATTTTTTATTTTCGAGTATTTTTCACTTCCTTGCCCTATTTTGTTTTCAATTGGAAACCATGTGCGAGTTCATCCCCTTTCTCATCTGTGTTGCTGAAGCTTTTCTTCTCGTCGTAGCACTCGGAGCGTGCCCTCGGACGTGCGGAACCACGGCAGCTCTGCTGCTGCTACTGTTGCTGCTGCCGCTGCTGGTCGCCCCAGCCCCTCTGGCGGTGACTCTGCACCACCCAAACCCATCAGCAGTGCCCATGATACCAGGTAGTCTCACTCCACCAGCATCGTGTCTCCTTGCCACTCCTCATGTGCACTTCCACAGTGATCTTAGCCTTAGGATGGGTGGCAGGCCACGGCTGGGCTTCTTTCCTGTGGTATATGAGTGATGTTCAGGGGCCCTCTGTGGGTTGTCACAGCGCCAAGGCTCTGGCACCAGCCAGCACGAGTAGATCGTTTGCCTGATGTTAATATTTTTCTGGAGTTAATATTAGCCAAAATGACCAGAGGCTCTGCCTATAATAACTCTGTGGAGAGAATATCCGAGGAAAGACCGTGGCCTGTAATAGAAGTGGACTTGGGAAGTTTGGCTAACAGAGCCTTTCCTCAGGAGTCGCAAGGTAGTTCAAAGTTGGTATCTAGTTAATAACGGAGGTGGCAATTTTTTGTGGGGGCGACTGGGAGGATCAGTTTTCTAACCGAATTTCCTAACTTTTAACAACTGTTGATTTGAAGTAGTTTATTAAAATAGAAAAATGAGTTCATGGGGTTTGTACATCATGTGGAGAATAAATCATTACTAGAGGGAACTCTCAGACATTTGGCAAGCTCCAGAAAAATTTAAGTCCCTCGCCATGAGTCTCTTGTATCAGTAAGGAAGGTCTTGCAGTTTTTCCCATTCTAGTTATTTTTTGGCTTCATGAAGTTCTTATACTTAATGGAGAAAAGACTTTTGGTCTCTCTTAATTCTGCCCTTGTATCTGAGTAGAGTGGACACTGTTACTGTTATCTTCCAGTAAGGATGTAGTGATATAGTCATACAAAGCTGTTTGGGTGATCTGATCCAAAAAGGTGAAATTGTGAGGAAACTCAGTGCTCTGTGTTCAGCTCCTAGGAAAAAATATTAGTATAATAGTTGGCAGGAAGATGACATATGGCTTTAGAATTTAAAATAGACTAAAATGTTTTTAGACATATATTAATGATCTAAAATTTCTACAAACATTTTCAGCATTTTAACTCATTAAAATAATTAATATTCTTAATTTTTAATGATAAATTTCTATAACCTAAAAAAAACCAAAGTATTTTACAGCTTAAGCAGCCAACTAATTGAACAAATTTCCATCAAACATTTTCAGCATTTTAACTCATTAAAATAATTAATATTCTTAATTTTTAATGATAAATGTCTATAACCTAAAAAAAACCAAAGTATTTTACAGCTTAAGCAGCCAACTAATTGAACAAATTTCCACTTACCTTCTTTATTTTTATGTTTAGAGCATTCATGGCAAATATTTTCACATATGCCTTCATATTCCTGTGGGGGCTACTGAAACTGTCTTTTACGTAAATGCGCCACAGAGTTAAGGGAAGTGGTTCAGCCTAAAATGCAGTCATAGTTGAGAACATGAACCAGTCTGTGGTGCCTGGCTGCCACACCTGATGCGTTCATGTGCTCATGAGGTTGCTGTAGAGCTGGAGAATGAGAAGTAACATCCTGCTTTCCTAAAGGTTGATGTACCACGGTTTAAGGCATGTATAAATTGGTAGTGTGGTACATTAAGTGTATTTTAGTATAAGAGTTAAGTATCTGCATTTAGCATTTTTATGCAGTTAGTCCTGTGCTTTGCATAAATAGATTTTCAGCATGATATGAGTAGCATTTCATAAGTATTCATCTTAAGTTTGTATATAGTTGGATAAACCTTGTTGTTTGGGAATTTCGATAGCATCATAGTATGCTGTCTTAAAGGGCATTTTTTACAAAGGAACAGTTTTCTTTACTCATGACAGTGTGTATGGGACAGGAGGTAGAGAAAAGCAAAGACACGTGAAGATGTGACTAGGGGCTGGTTGTTAAACTCCCTCTTGCAGTCAAGCCTTGCACATGCTTGGTCTGACTTTGAGCCTCAGCACCTTCGTGGTAAACCTGGGGAGTGGACCTTGTGTGTCTCTGGTGGATGAAGTTCACTGCTCCTGAGGCACACTGAATACTTGAGAGCCCCAGTGATCCACATGACACCGATGGCATCCAGTGTCAGCCACACTCCACAGTGTGCAGCCCTTGCTAATCCTGGATATGTTAACTAAAAATTCAGTTTCACTTGGCCCCAGAGGATTCAACAAACGTTTTTTTCATTAATTTTATTTGACTTAGGAAACACCTATTCTGGGCTCACATTATCTTATAATCATTTATAAAAACATTTTGCATTGTTATGCTTGCTGGAGCTGGCTCCTGTTGACTCACAAGAGCTGACTGTTAAATTTTAAGGAAATTTTGCAAGCCCCTCCACCCTCCACAAACTACCCCACAGCTAGTTGTTAAACATTCACCAGTATACCACTTCATTTAAGTATATGTTCTTGCCTTTTACCCTTGTGAAAATCTCTGAAGGACATGGAATTGGCTAATTTCACTTGTGGGAAAACAGGAGAATAGAGGTGTCAAGTGACTTCTTCATGGCCCAGTCTTTGGGACCGCTTAGGAGTGGAATATATTTCTGCACTTCAGCATCAGCCATTTTCCCATCAGATAGGGCCAGGAGTTTTTGATGAGCTACGTGGCAGTAGAAATGTCTCCCTCACTTCAGGCTTAACAAGTACTGTACTAGCTTTGAGGGTTTAGGGAAATACAAAAAATATTGCATATTTTGTAATTTGTGAATGTCTGTGCAGTAGACCGTGTTTCCTTTAACCTATTCAGTGTGTGATAAAAAGAGCATAAATGCTACCATACTTCATTATCACTTATTTAAAAAATACACACTAGATGACTTTTTAATGAATTAATATCATATTTATTTTGGGTTCTTTGATTATTTGAATTACAATTTTAACACTTCCCTTATTTAATCCCAGTTTTAACTTTTCATGGGTTCATTCTGGCTGCTGAGCATTTAACTGTATTCTGGAAATCAGCTAATTAACTTTGTTCTGTAATATATTCAGCTTTCTGCTCTGTTGGCTCTCTTGCACTTTTCTTGGCTATTACATGAGCAATCATTATGTATTCACTTCCATTTTCTTATTATTAAGAGATTTGAAATCTTTTGGACTGTGTAATGATTTTAGTACTTTAAGTGGAATTAACTACATAAATATAATTTGATGGTAACTTTAAATACAAGAGAACCTCAAAAAGTTCATGGAAAAATAGAATTGAAAGATAATATGAATCTTTTGGCTAATACATTTTTATCTATCATGGGCTTAAATTATGGAGCTTTCCAGTACATTAGCAATACTTATGTAGTGTTTTGTTTTTATATCTGTTGTTGTTGTTAATATAATACAGGGTATTATGCAGTCAGGTGCTCTGGGTCTCGTGTGTTGGCTATGGAGGAATAAAAATGGAACTCTCCTTCCAGACTCCCAAGGAGGTTCTCAGTGGCAGCACGGTTCATTTGGGTGGATGATTCTTACTGTGAGGCTGTCTTGTGTATTGTCCTCTAGATGCTTCCCGCTAGAGGCCAATAGCATCCTCCCACTCCTGACAATCAAGTGTCTCCAGACATTGCCAGTTCCCGGGGGGGCAAAATTGCCCCTGTTGATAGCCACTGCTTCAGGAGAATCTCACTAATCTTTCATTTTGCGTTCCATTGAATTGATAGCTCAATTGTTAAAAATGTCAAAACAGGGGTTCCAGCGTCCCTGAAAATGATCGATTGGCTTCCATAGCTGCTGAATTGCAGTTCAGGTCCCTGAGTCGTCATTCCAGCCCCACAGAGGAGCGAGACGGTGAGTGTTTTAAGATGTCAACTGCATTCTCAACCAGCCTAATCATTTGTCTCGGTCCGCTAGTTTCTGCTGATAACACCGTTAAAAGGAAATGTAGAATAAGAAGCAACAGAGTGTTATGAGAAGATTTAATGCTGAATATGTTGGCTTTTTAATATAGATGACTTTTTAGCTATATTTGTATTTTCTAGGTCTGCTTTTGCTTTTTAAAAAATCATTATTCCTGGGCC